GAACATGCGCGAGGGCCGCGTTGGCCCGATCCTGCACTTCCAATGACCTGTCCCCGGAGAAAATCAGGACCACATCGTCCGCGAAAGCCTGGCAATGTTCCCCTTTTTCGCTCAGTTCTTGTAATAGAGGGTCAATTAGCAGGTTCCAAAATATAGGACCCCCTATTGAGCCCTGCACACATCCCTTTGCAGTGGTTTTCGTATATTCTGCTCCTGCGTACCTGATGCAAACGGTTCTATCCTCGAGATAGTTGTCAATGAGACGTCGTAGATTTATAGGGCAACCAGTCTCTGCAAGCCTGCATCTGATTGCCGGCCACCATGCGTTATCGAAGGCTCCCTCTATGTCCAAAGATATTAATAATATTAATTTTTTGTCTTCAAGCTTGGTTTTTACTAGCTGCATTATGTCATAGAGGGAGTCTTCGGTACTACGCTGCGGCATAAATCCATACTGTCTCCGGCTAAGTGTGGGTACAATATGCCATTTTACTCGTTGGATCAACATTTTCTCGAAGATTTTACCGAGCACAGGCAGCAGTCCGATAGGTCTATAGGATTTAGGATGTGTGTAGTTCTCTTTTCCAGGCTTTCGCAGAACCACTACTACCGCCTCTTTCCATTTCCTAGGAAAGTATGCTAGGCTCAAGCATTTGTTGGCTATAGCCAAAAACATATCCGGGTTCAGAGAGATGGCTGTTCCACAAATGTCGGCCGTAAGACCGTCATTCCCTGGTGCCTTTTTGGGGTTAAAACTAGACACAGACCACATCAATTCCTCCATCGTGAATGGTGGGTCACATGAATCATCATGTGACCCTTCATTTACACAACTCGCATTGTCTCTCATTTGCCTGTGTCCTATGTTGTCACCCCTAGTATCGTCTTCTGGGTAGAATATATCAGCCAGCATTTTGGCTGATTCCTCGTTTCCCACGGTTTTTCCATCTATGACAAAGGGCATCACTCTATAGATTCCGTCCCACATTGATTCTCGCTCTTGCTTGCTGCAGAACTCCTTCCAACTGGAAGTTTGGGCCCTCTTGACTTCCAGCTGGTACTCCTCTTTAGCGCTGAGGTACTGCTCCACAACCCATTCACGACGAATTGTTGCTGCACATGATATTCGACGTTTTAGCCTGGAGACTTTCTTCTTAAACTGTGTTAACTCGTCGGTCCACCAGGGCAATCCTATTCGCTTCCTGTTCTTCAATTTGGACATATGTTTGTCGGCTACATCAGTGATTGTTTTTGTTACCTCTTCTATTTTTATTTCTAATTCTTCTCTTGATTCTATTTTATCTATTTCTTTTTTGTTTAGTGTTTTACTGTTCCAAAGCTGGAGGAGTTTCTCACGAAACTCACTCCAGTTTGCCCTTTTTGTATTGTACTTTCTTGTTGTTCTACATACATCTGTTCCAATTGATTTTTCAAGATTTATATCGAACAGGATTGCTCTGTGGTCCGAAACAGTTATTTCTTCAGAAAGCCTCCAGTTTTCTACCCTCCCTAATAGGCTCGTCGAGCAGGTAGTTATGTCCACGCAACTAGAGAATCTTCTCCCACCTCTGACAATATCAAAGGTGGGATCCGATCCTCTATTGAGTATATGAAGCTCCAATTCGTCGAGTCTGGCGGCCAAGTCTGTTCCCCTTGTGTCCGTCTCCCGGCTACCCCACCAGGTGTTCCATGCGTTCACGTCTCCACCGAGTATCACGCTTCCAGTCCCTGAGGCTTCCACTGCCTTTTTGATCACGTCCAGGTATGGGTCGATTGGCTTATCACCCTCCAGATAGACAGACACCACTGCCATCTCCCAGGTCCCTGTCCTCAACTTAGCGACTGCGATATTTTCAGTTGTTAGGTCGGGACACTGGGTTACGTCAATGGTGTCGTCGAACAATACAATGGCAGCCTTGATAACCCTTCCAGTGTTGGGTTCTCTGTGACATTGTATTATTCGTGTCCCTGGGTAGTGCTTCATTTCTCCAATGCGACCGATGTAAGGTTCCTGGACCAACGCGAAAGATGTTTTTCTCCAGGTCGCCTCGGTGATCAATTCGGCAGTGGCTAACTCACATCTCTGCAAGTTGGCCTGTATAGCGTGATACCGGTGGCTGCCCGAATCGAAGTCTCCGGCAGACCTTGGGACCACCTTAGCAATAAGCTACGGTGGATCTTGCCAAGGTCTCCCATCTCCTTCTCACCGGGCAGTCTGAGCTGAACGCATTGTGGTCGTTCCTGTCCATTTTAGCCTTTATGCAGTTTTTGCACGATGGTGCTTCTCCCGATAGCCAGTCGGCACACTCAGTTCTAAGGTGCGGGCCTCCGCAGTGGCTACAGACCTCTTGCGTCTCGTTGCATACTCGCTTGGTGTGTCCGTATCCCAAGCACTTTGAGCACTGGACGAGTGGGGATTGGTCTTCTACCCTCACTCGTTGCAGATCTATGTGAATCGCTCCAGTCTCTATGAGGCGGTTCCACAGCAGCGGCGAGACCC